GCCATGGAACAACAGACCATCTCCATCAGTAAAGCTGGTATTGTCACCACGCTTCAGGCACGCTGCGCCATCGTTGCTGCAGCCAATCCAAGTGGAGGCCGATACAACAGTACCATTCCTTTTAGCCAAAATGTCGAGCTCACAGAGCCGATTTTGTCTCGTTTCGACATTTTATGTGTGGTCCGAGATACAGTTGACCCCGATGAAGACGAGCGGCTTGCAAACTTTGTGGTCAACAGCCATGGACGAGCGCATCCCGCAAGACTCGAGATGGACGCTGGAGACATTGCCGCCATGGAGACTGAACCCCAGAATGCAATCAACAATGGCGAACCACGGCAAGAAGGAGCAATTCCCCAGGAGTTACTTCGCAAGTACATCATGTATGCCCGAGAAAAGTGTCGGCCGAAACTCTATCAGATCGATCAAGATAAAGTGGCTAGGCTCTTCGCAGATATGCGAAGAGAGTCTCTCGCAACGGGCGCGTACCCTATCACGGTTGGTCATTGACAGATGAAGGCATTATGTTGTGTGGCTAACTCCTTCTGCAGGTCCGTCATCTTGAAGCAATCATGAGAATTGCAGAAGCATTCTGCAAAATGAGACTGTCTGATTTCTGCTCTTCGCAAGACATTGACCGTGCGATTGCGGTGACTGTCGATTCATTTGTCGGCAGTCAAAAGCTGAGTTGCAAGAAGGCACTTGCCAGAGCATTTGCAAAGTAGGTCACAAACTCCACCGTGTATGTATTTCGCTGACATGAGGTTGCAGATACACGTTACGCCGTCCAGAGCGTCAGCGAACTCGTGTGGCTGGAAGGGGTACCAATCCTGTGGCAACAGTTGCGGCATGAGACCCGAGTGTTGGATATTTGTGTGTGGAAGTCCTACAAGTACAGTGCTGATGATCGTATTATGACTTGGGGTTGGCTGCATAGTTGATCTATATGAGAGAAATACCCAGATAAATGGTCCATATTGACAGGAGCACAATCACTCCATATTGCTAGATTGTTCCTGACCCTCTCCAACTTTTGTGACATTCTGAGTCCACGATAAGATTGTGGCCAAAAAGATCTTAGCGCCGATCAACGCGTATTCGAACGCGTAAAGTGGATCACGAAAGGGCGTGTCTTTCTGCCTTTCGTGACGACACCACATTCTTTGCAGTAACGGCACCCAGGGTTGAGGTCGAGGTCGAGGTCGAGGATCGAGAATGATATCTGAGCAGGAAAGTCAGACTACTTGTGACCTTGTTTTCTATTAATACTTGTCTAAGGCTTTGGGAGGCAATTTGTTCTCTGATCCTCTCATCGCTGTCGTTTACGGAGACTCTCTTGCGCGGAAAGCCTCGGACTGGATATCAGTTCCTGCAGCGTCCCCTTTTGCGCCTACACCTAGACTACAGCGGTAGTAATGGCAACAAGATCTTCGTCATCGGAGCCAACGACACCAGCTATGTCTTCTGGCAAAAGCACCCCTCCCACCTCGCCACTCGATGGCAGCATCGCAGAGGTCCAAACCGAGACCGGCGACGACAAGAAAGAGCAAGATACGAACAAAATGGAGGTGGACACAGACAATGTCGAAGAGATGGACTACAAGACACGGGCACTCACAAATCTCCTCAAGACGAGCTCCGTTTTTGTTGCGATCATGGCGGACAAGATGAAGCAGGAACAGAAGCGCAATCAGGAGCAAGCCAGACGGGCGGCGACGAAGAAGAAACAAGAAGCTGCCAAAAACGCCGAGTCGAAAGGCCCAACAAGAAAGTCTACAAGAGGCCATGCTCAAGATGAGCGCGTGGCAGACGAGCCGGAGAAAGAAGGGAAGAGGGTCACGCGCGGTCGAGGTGGACCGCCCAAGAAGGCCAATGCTGCAAAGAAAAACATAACTGATTACTTCGACGCGAATACTCTTCAGGCCTCCAAAGAGGGTCCCACGGTCCAGGAAGCCCTTGCAGAGGCCGCTGATGAATATGAAGGCGAAGGACTCGGTGCTCAAGACCTTATCGCAACAGAGCAGCCTGCTCTAGTCACTGGAGGGAAAATGAAGCACTATCAACTGGAAGGACTAGAGTGGTTAAAATCGCTCTGGATAAACGGTCTCTCCGGCATCATGGCGGACGAGATGGGTCTGGGGAAGACTTTACAAGCCATCTCATTGATTGCCTTCTTGAAAGGGAACAATGTCTCCGGCCCTTTTCTAATCGCAGCTCCCTTGAGTACTGTGAGAAACTGGGTGGAAGAATTCAAACACTGGACTCCTAGTATCAACACGATTCTCTACCATGGGAGCAAGGAAGAGCGCGCAACCATGAGGCGGAAAAGCATGAGGATCCAAGATCAGCACAAATACGAGTTTCCGATCGTTGTCACCAGCTACGAGATTTGCATGAACGACCGAAAATTCCTGGCAAACTATCAATGGAACTACATCATTGTGGATGAAGGACATCGCCTGAAGAACATGAACTGCAAACTGATCAAAGAGTTGATGACATACACATCTGCCAATCGACTTCTGATCACAGGCACGCCGTTACAGAACAATATTGCAGAGCTTTGGTCGTTGCTTCATTTCTTACTCCCCGAGGTTTTCAATGACCTTGACAGCTTCGAACGGTGGTTCGACTTCTCAAGTGTTTTGGAAGGCAAGCAGGAGGCTGACGAGAAGACGCTGAGTCGCAGAAACAATCTCGTGTCGACTATGCATGCCATTCTAAAGCCATTCCTTCTCCGGCGGGTCAAAGCGGACGTCGAGTCAGACCTCCCGAAGAAACGGGAGTACATCTTGTATGCACCCCTGACCTCCGAACAGAAGGACTTGTATCGGGAGATCATCGCAGGCACGAGCAGGTCGTATTTGGAAGAAAAGGCCATTGAACGCATTGACGCTAGAAGCCGCACGGCTTCTCTCAAGCGTAAAGCAGCCACCAGCGGCCGCGGAACACCCCAGAAGAGTTTGAAACCCAGTCGAGATTCCACACCAGCCTCTATTGCTTCCACCGGCTCCGTTCGACGGGGCCGCAAAGGAGCCCGCACAAGCTATCGGGACGTAACAGACCGGGAATTCAATGCTCGACTTCGCCGGATCGAACAAGGCGAAGAAGACATCAGCCTGGACCGCGCGTCTCCATCTCCCGGCTCCCAAGATGTTTCATCGGATGACGCAGAAGAGCTCGAAAGAGCACAAACGTTCAAGCTTGCAAAGAAGGAGATTGCCGCTAAGAAACTTCAGAACCCCCTGATGCAAGCCCGACTAGCGTGCAACAGTCCGCACAACTTCTACTGGCCATGGAAACCAAGCACAGCAGCCGAGGAGCAGTCAGGCGACTTCCCACGCGTGGATGAAAGTCTCGTCACGGCTTCAGGGAAAATTCTTGTGCTTGACACGTTACTCCCCCGACTTTTCCGTCTAGGCCACAAAGTCCTCATTTTCAGCCAATTCAAAAACACACTGGATATCTTGGAAACGTATGCGACTGAACTGCGCGGCTGGAAGGCGTGTCGCATTGATGGCTCGGTCGCCCAAGAGGAGCGTTACGAGCAGATTACCAACTTCAATACGGACAAGTCTTACAACTTGTTCCTCTTGACCACCCGAGCTGGTGGGCAAGGAATCAATTTAACCGCAGCAGATACGGTGATTCTATTCGATTCCGACTGGAATCCGCAGCAAGATTTACAGGCGATGGACCGCGCACACCGTATTGGCCAGACAAAACCTGTCATTGTGTACCGCCTTGCAACACGGGGAACCGTAGAGGAGGCTCTGCTCCTTAAGGCTGACACAAAGAGGAAACTCGAGAAACTGGTCATTCAAAAAGGCAAATTCAGGTCTCTTCTGTCGTCTGGCATTGATGCAGATGATGTTAAAGGCGCGCTTGTCAACGACGAGTTTGAAAAGTATGATGTCCCGCATCTAGAGGATGATGAGAACGAAGCGAAAGGAAAACACCGAAAGAGGAGGCCGATTCTCAGCGAAGAGGAGCTGAAGATATTGACAGATCGGAGCGATGAGGCTTACGAGCGGGCGGCGAAGGGATTGGACATGGGAGGCGAAGGAAGTGCATTCCAGGTCGCTGAAACCAAAAGGGGAGGGACGACGGCGGACGTCCTTGACGATTTGACGGTCAGGACTAAGCCATGATGAGCCTGTCCGTTAGATGTACAGTTGGAGTGGTTGTCTTAGGGAGGTTCTTTGGGACGAATGGGATAGACGAGGCCGAATATTGGATGTTCTTTGCAACATGCATGTCATGTACGAGGTAATTTCGTTGCCGATACCTCATCGTCAGTCCTGAATCCTGGGGGAGTGAGTGGATGGTGACCCAGCCTGACACGTGACAAAGGATAATCTTCGGCCTGTGTAGATCACGTGGACCTATGGATGAGCATCCCACATTGCGTAGAAATTCTAGTCCACTTCGTGTATCATAACTATGATGGGACCAAGCGGCCGTTGGAACGATTTCCTCGCCTGAATATCCAATTTCTGCCGCTTCGGTATCCAATGATCTTTCCAATGCTCGAAACAACTCTCCACCGCGGGCCGGGTGGCCGCCACAGTGCCCAAGCGCGTCCATCCACGTGTGCGTCCCATCACACCCACACAACCCTCAGATATGGGGTTATGCACCGAGAATGTGAAGAGAGCCAAGGAACATTTACCAAGAAGAGCGTTGGTGTAGGTGGCACGGTTGGTCAGGAGGATTCTGGACGGAACCCATGAACAGCCGAAAATGTGCCTGATATCAAAGACCCATCTCCGCATTTCAGCCGGGCGGCATGGCTGATTTGAGAAGTTCCGTGGCTGATCAGGCAAGTCGCAGTATCCACGCTGGTAGGATACTACAACCTTCACTTTTAGCTTGGATCTGGCGGGGAGGCTCAGCAGATTCTTTCACGGTTACCAGGTCTGAAGATAAAAACTGTGCCTTGTGCGAAAAGTCAAGACGCGTTGAGGAAGCCGGCCTGCTCGAGGAATACGAAACCCACCATGTTACTCTCCAAAGATGAGACTCTGCACTATACCTACGATTCCGAACGGGTTCAGATCGAAGCCTGGGGTCCGAATGCCCTTCGGATTCGTGCCACCAAGTTTCATACCCTGCCGTCGGAAGACTGGGCTTTGACAATTCCGCCGCCCAAGACCGATGTATCTATTTCTATGAATGATGGGCATGCGTCAATCAGCAACGGCAATATCTGTGCCATGATATCTTCGCGGGGCAAGATTACTGTCAAAAATTCCAAGGGCGAGTTACTGCTTGAAGAGTACCAGCGCAACCGTTCGGATGTCGAGGATCCAAAATGCAGCGCCTTGATGATCGAAGCAAGGGAGTTCAAGCCCTTGTTGGGTGGTGACTACCATTTGACCTACCGTCTGGAATCCATTGATCGGAATGAGAAGATCTACGGTATGGGCCAGTATCAGCAACCATTTCTTGACCTCAAAGGACTGGACCTCGAAATGGCCCAGCGCAATTCTCAGGCAAGCGTGCCTTTCATGCTCTCTAATCTAGGATACGGCATGCTATGGAACAACCCAGCCGTCGGCAGAGCTGTGCTGGGAAAGAACACGATGAGCTTCGAGGCTTATTCCACGAGGGTGCTTGATTATTGGGTTGTGGCTTGTGACACCCCGACCCAGATCATCGAAGCTTATGCGGACATCACGGGCAAGGTACCGATGATGCCTGAATACGGACTGGGCTTTTGGCAGTGCAAATTGAGATATCAAACTCAGGAAGAGCTTCTGGATGTTGCACGAGAGTATCGAAGACGAAACCTGCCGCTTGATGTTATCGTGGTGGATTTCTTTCATTGTAGGTCTCCACGTCCTATTTGATGGCTACGTGCCACCTGCGCACAGGAAACTGACGCGTATAACAGGGCCGAAGCAAGGAGAATGGAAGTTCGACCCCACATACTGGAAAGACCCCGGTGAGTCTGCCATGCGAAGACTGTTATCGACGTGGAAGGAGTCGGCGACAGAGTCAGCGCCTGAGTTCCACTTTCCCCCTCCTTCTTCCGCCATCAAACTCCAACTCGACTCTTTCTCGCCGCACTCTACCCCTGAAAAGGGCCCTGCTATCAAGGTGGAAGAATATAGCTCTGACGAAGTGTCGTGACGCTTGGTACTACAGACGACATGATCAAGGAGCTCAAGTCGATGAAGATTGAACTCCTTGTCTCCATCTGGCCGACAGTCGACAAGCGATCTGAAAACTACGACTACATGCTGGAAAACGGCCTTCTGATCCGGCAAGACCGAGGACTGCGGATCTCGATGGACTTTCAAGGAGAGACCGTCCACGCTGATTTCACGAATCCGGCCACAAGAGAATTTGTCTGGAATACGGTCAAGAAGAATTACTACGACAAGGGTGTGAAGCTTTTCTGGCTTGACGAGGCGGAGCCAGAGTACAGTGCCTATGACTTTGATATTTATCGGTACCATAGCGGGAGTTTGTTGAGCACCGGGAATGCATATCCAGTTGAATACGCCAAGGCCTTCTATGAGGGAATGGTGAAGGATGGCAAGCAGAAGGACGTCTGCAATCTTATCCGCTGTGCTTGGGCCGGAAGTCAGAGGTTTGGGACGCTGCTGTGGAGCGGTGACATTGCAAGCAGCTGGGAGAGTTTTCGAGACCAATTTGCGGCTGGTTTGAATGTGGGGATTGCGGGCATCCCATGGTGGACTACGGACATTGGTCAGTCAACTCTGTCAACGCTGCTCTATACATTATGCTGACTCCGTCAAGGTGGCTTTCATGGAGGAGATCCCAAGTACCCCGAATTCCGTGAGCTCTGCACTCGATGGTTCCAATACGGTGAGTGGATCAAGCAAGAAGCCCCGCCTATATTGCCGTCGCCCTCTGAGACTGTAATGCTGATTTGGTTTCAGGCTGTTTCTGCCCTGTCTTCCGCCTCCATGGCGATCGTGAGCCCAAGCAGCCCCAACACGGCACCACCGGTGGCGCGACCTGCCTCTCTGGGGCGCCGAACGAAATCTGGTGCTACGGCGAAGAGTGTTACCAGATCATGAAAAAGTACCTTTTCCTGCGCGAGAGACTCCGTCCGTACATCCGCGACCTCATGGCCCAAGCACACAACAAGGGCACGCCGGTGATCAGGACCTTGTTCCTGGAGTTTCCCGACGACAAGAGGTGTTGGCAGGTCGAGGACCAGTACATGTTCGGACACAAGTATCTCGTCGCGCCGGTCATGTGCCCGGGCATGACCACGAGGAAGGTGTACCTGCCGAGGGGTGCCACGTGGCAAAGGTTCGATGATGGGGAGGTCCAAGATGGGCAGACTTTTGTGGGTGGAAGGGAGGTTCAGGTGGATTGTCCACTGCACGTGATGCCTGTGTTTGGGCGAATTTGAAAGGGTCAGGGCTGAATGAGTTCATCAACGAGGCGGTTTCCAAAGGCGGTTTCACCGTATCGCCCTGATGGCAGGTCACTGTACCCGAGCCTTTCAAATAGGTAAAAAAGGCACCTCTTCCAACATGTATGGATTCTGGAAGACACATTCTCTACATGTGTCAACCCTTGTATGGATGAAAGGGCGGCGGAGTACGGGGGCTGGGGCTGGGTGGAGGGAAGCAAGGCTGCGCCTGCGCCAGCGCCACAAAAGGGGTCCCCCCTCCTTACAGATCTAGTATCACGAGGCACCGCGACGGGATCGAATCCTTGCAGTAGCGTAATATAATGCGAGTTGTAGTACTTGTCGTCCAAAGGACTACATATCACCTATCCAGGTGCAACAAAGGCGTAGGGCGAGGCAAAGGATAGTTATAGGGGGATCAGGCACTAAGCCCAATTGGTATCTATACCAGGTCTTGGCATATATATTCCAAACCGTGACATCCCTTATCTTGGCGTCGCTGTTTGTCGCCATTACCAACGTCTATGATTTTTGAGCAGGAGGGAGAAGCTGTGGCGCACGCAAGGCGAACTGGCACCGCCCAGTAACCCAGCCATTGGTGACCAGAGTTGACCAGGACGAGCCATTGGCTCGGCAGCAGCCCAATGCGTTGTCCTGGGGCTGTGTCAAGATATTGCAGCCTGTGGTTGGAAACCTCAAAGTCTCTGCCCAAGTATCATCTTTTTCGACTTGGTGAGGGCGACAGATTCGCACAAGATCGATTCAATTCACACCCACCCTCCTACAGAACTTGCTATAAAACAGTTGTGGAAAGCTTGTAACGCGCGACCAGCGACCCATTCCTCAGACTTTGATTTCGATCGCGGGGCAGGAACAGTCAGCACTTTGTGCCTGTAGTGATTCAGCCTCAGCCCTTCTGTTACAGGTCCTTACTGATATTGAGAGTCTCCTTTTCATCAGCCCGTTTGACATCGCCTAAAGAATCGTCTACAGATTGATCCCATCATGGATCCTGTCACAGCAGTTTCCATCGCTGGGAATGCGATTCAATTCGTGGATTTCACTGCCAAACTCATCTCGAAAGGGGTAGAACTGTACAAGAACAACACACTATCAGAGCATGTCGAGTTGAGCAAGGCAGCCGTTCAGTTGCGGAGTTTCCAATTGCCTCACAAATTGGACGACCTACGGTCTCTTCAGACGACATCGCTGACCAAAGACCAGTCTTTGCTTTTATCCCAGCTCGAAGAAGCTTACAGTTATTGCACGGACTGTGCTGAGCAGATCATTGAAGCCGTGGGCAAACTCACCGTGTCGGGAGACCATAGGAAGTGGAAGAGTTTTCGCCATGCCTTGTCCAGTGTGATGGGTGTTTCAAAACTGGACGACGCAAGCCGGCGCTTGTCCAATGCACGTCAACAGTTGATGCTGTTCTTGCTACTCTACAACGAGTAGGTCCCTGATCCCTCCCTTTGGAGTCGATGCTAAATATTTCCGTTTTAGCGACAGGCGCGAACGAGGTGCTCGTGAACTGCAAGAAATGCAAGCGGGTTCATCAGCAAGCATCTTGACAGAATTACAAGGGCTGAAAGACGAAGTCCACTCCTATCTTTCCAGTCTTCGTCAACAACTCGTTGCGCAAGATCAGTCATTACGGGGGGCCATTATGACCTCATGGATACACCAACACGAGCCTACTATGGCCCTGGCGGAAGAAAAGGTTGCTGAGGTTTTGCAGGAGCAAACTCGTCTACGATTCTGCTCGCACCTTCGCTTCCACCAGATCGATGATCGGTACGGCAGCATAGCACAGGCGCATAAAAAGACCTTCGAATGGGTCCTTCAACCGGACGGTCAACGAGATGCATCCTGGTACAATTTCGCACAGTGGTTGGAAGAGCCTCAGCCGTTGCACAATATATACTGGCAAAGTGGAAAGCCAGGGTCAGGCAAGTCTGTATTAATGAAATATCTCTCGACATCACCGACGACGTTCCAGCTGCTGTCAAAATGGCAATCACAAAAGCACCTGCTGGTGGCCAAATGTTTCTTCTGGAATCCAGGGACAGAGTTACAAAAATCTCTCCAAGGAATGCTGAGGACACTCTTATTCCAAATATTGATCGATAAAAGAGTCGATTGTACAGTCATTGAGGATATTGCTCCGTGGCGGTGGCACGAATCTCAGAGCTCAAACTTCGTCCCGGAAGCGTGGTCTGTGCCTGAGCTATCAGCCATGTTCGAATCGACCGTACGACGAATAGCTGAATTTGCAAACGTCGTGTTCTTTGTCGATGGGCTCGATGAGTTTGGCCGCGATAATGTCGAGCGGCAGGAACTTGTCAGGCTTTTCCTGTCGTTGCGAGGCCTGGAAACTGTCAAAATCTGCGTTTCAGGTCGACCTTGGAATGTCTTCATCGATGCCTTCGAAGGGTTTCCTTCTCTACGACTGGAAGATCTGACCAGAGGAGACATCCTGGACTTTGTGGAGGCTGAATGTCAGGAGAGTAAGGCCTTTCGGGATCTGGAGGCCGTGGACCCAGAGCAAGTCTTGCATATCCGAGAAGAGATCGTCACAAAGTCCTCTGGGGTCTTCCTCTGGGTTTACCTGGTCACTAAGAGGCTCTTGGCCGAGATGCAGGATGGCCTGAGGTCGCCGAAAAAGCTCCTCGAGGAAATTCCCGAAGGCCTCGACGAGTACTTTCAATTCATGCTTTCCGCCATCAGCACACGGGATCAGGCAAGAGTATCGAGAATCCTTCAACTCATGAAAGCCATCCGACCTTCCACTCTGCCATCGCTTATGATACTCTCCTTTACGGACGAGGAGAGTGCCGACTTCGCTCTCCAGGAAGGATCCGCTCACGAGAGTCTGGATGCTATCAGGGCCAGGGTACTATCGATGAGGCGGCTCTTCCAAAGTCAGTGCATGGACTTACTGGAGTACAAAGAGATTCCACAAGATGGTTACCCGTGGCAGAATTCGGCGGTGGACTATCTGCACCGAACGGTGGAAGAATTTCTCTCCTCGCCTGCGACTCAGAACTTACTCAACAACTACACCAATGGCGCATTCGACACGTCGTGGTACCTCGTAAATGCCCACCTTAAGCACATGGAGTTCATTGACGCGTTTATCACAAGCCATCGGCCACCACCTCAGCAAGAAGCACACAAAATAATCTACCACTTCAACAATTGCGGGCTGGAGATGAACCGTGTCAAGGGCCGACCTATCTCGTCCGTTGTAAGATGTTTCGACAAAGCGGCCGTGATGGTCTGCGCATTGCTCGAAATTTATCCGTCCCCTTACAATTCTGGTGCGTTTGGGTGGCCTGTCTATAGCGATTTGTCTGGGTTACCACTGGAGAATTTTGACCCTGTCCAGTTACCCGTGGAAGATCCTCATCTATTTCTGGCAGTGAAATACCGTGTCAGTGCGTATATTGAGGCAAAGCTCAGCATCAATGAGAATCTGCTCAGTCCAAAATTCTACGTTTCAGCCATGTTGTGTTACAACCAGGAAGTGACCAATGAGCTAGACGCCTCAGTGGTACTGTTGCTTCTGAAGCGTTGCAGATGCTTCGCAGATGCTTCGGAGGCTCTGAACCTATCTAGCAGATATTGGAAAAATATGCACAGGATCCGCTGTCCCAGGAGCGGATACTACATGGATCATGCTGGGGCTGCAAATGCAATGCTTGAGTTGACAAAAGGGCTGGAACTGACTTCATATCAAGCGTCAGGCCTGGCTCGCACGATGCTCAACGTATTTGGATATGACACCTTACCCTTGGCAGGGCGGAAAGATGTTCAGAAACACTTGCACAAAGTTCAAAAGACCTGGCGAGTTACCACGCCCAAATGGCCAGAAGCTTTGGGATTTCACAAGCTTGGTCAGCGGATGAGAAGGCTGATCTCACCATAAACACAAGATTAGGAGAAAATTTGCAGAGTCATGAGAATATCTGATAGCGATGTGCATTCCAACAGTCCAACCTGTTTGCCCACGTGCCGACAAAAGCCAGTCGCGGTGATTTTTCCGAGGTTGTTATTGAATTGAATTTATATCAACGGGCTCAATGCCCTAGGCATCCGACTCCAGAAAGACCATGGGACTGTGGATGGCTGCGACTGCTGGCCTCTAGCTCGGACGATGGCACTGACAGGTTTCTGGCTCCGGGACCCGCGCCCGGGCCAGAGAGTGCAAAAGTTCGAGAACATATTAGGAATCACAGCGATTAATTTCATAGTTGATAACAGTGATTTTACTTTACTCATAGGAGAGATATATCAATTGACAATGAATCTACTTTTTCGCAGATCTGTTACTCTTTTCCGCTACGATTGTGATGAAAACATGATTTGGGTCCAACGAGGTGAGTGAGTGTCAATCTTCTCTAGCTTCCATATGAGAGAGTATCGTGGTGGGGATTTTTTTTCTTATGCATTTTTGAAGCAAAATTCAATTTCCTATCTCAGTGTGCAAAGATCGGCCTCGATCAGTTGCGAGAGGAGCGTCTTTTACCATCCCAAGGACCACCTGATATAGTATTCTCAATGGAGGGGGGAAGAGATGCCATCGACGATAATGATGCGTTCGAACTTCCAAGGCCTGTAGTGGATTACACCGTTTCCTCCAACGTTTTTGTACAAGAAATGTTCCACTGCGAATGCTGAATGGTTTTCAAAATTCAGCCTCTCGAGTCCTTCGAAAGCCATCCGGTCGTTTGTACAGTGTCTTGTAATTTATTGGGGCGGTATCTACCACGGCCAACGTTGAGGCTGGGCCGAAGTTCAGCAGGGTCAATTCCAGAGACAGACTGTATGCCGAAATCTTTGTGCCGCTTTCAAGGCGACTTTCCGTGCCGTCTGGCCGTCAATATTCTACCGGAGGCTGACAACGTGAGTTCTACATCTGATTAGCAATCTCCTTCGCTGTCACGCGATCGTAATCTTGCACAAGCTTTCTATTATGGGAGAACATTTCCAGGGCCTCGGTTTCTGTAGATACCGGCTTGCGTGTCAACAAACAGCCAGATAGTTGGGGTGAAAGATGACGCGAGGTCGTAAAAGTCCTTCCGCTGTTCTTCTGACATACCTGAACCCGTCGTTTGGATCCAGCTCGAGTGTCGTGACAGTCGGGGACTTGGGTGCTGTAACTCTGGGTGATGGACAGAAGATTCAGGCAGTCGCGCCATTGTATCTGATTAGACCGCTTTTGGACTTAGTGCAAGAAGCTCAGCTGCGTAATCGATCTGATCTGCACATATACGGCTAGCGCGGTTCTTAGCGGCTACTTAACTTCATCTTCATTCCTCCTTGGCTGTTTCTCTGTCAATCATCGTAGACGCGTTCGTTTGAACAGTGATGCTCATCAAACGATTCTTCTGTCGAGCGCTACGACAATGGACGTGGGACTGCCTCTCAGAGGTCTGATTGATGTCGAATCATCTGTCATTGCGACAAAGAGTTGCGAGGCGGTTCACTCCCTCCTCTCCCTGACAAACTGGGTAATGTCAGAGACTGATTAGTCTATAGCCGCCCGCAAGGAGCGAGGCGCTCAACTTGGTCGTCCGAACTAAGGAAGTAAGGCCGGTATCACACAGCGTGGCCTGACAAAGCTACAGCACGGCCTGACCACAAAGAAGTCCTTGCCCGACCGTGTCTTTACAACAAGTGTTCTCCCCAGAACATAACAATTACAAGTCTGCATCTCCGGCTAATCGATATCGATACGATCTGGAGATTCCAAGGCTCAGATGTTTGGATAAGCCCCATGGGGATGTCGTGACAGCTCGACGACCTCGGCGACCCCATCTAATTCCATGCTTGAGAACTTGGGCTGATTCATTAACCGGACGACCCTCTTTGCTGAAGAGACATCGCTCTACAGGAAATCTTGCAACATACTGGGCATGGGATTGAGTGGCCCGCAAGGAAGCGCCGGGTAGAAAGGCAGGTGGAGGCCAGGTTGTGGCTGGATGCTTCTCGCCCCAAAGGACCACGCCCATCCTCAGCGGAGTGGCGATTTTTGCTGCAAGAATGTGTCGCCAGACTGCCTATCACTCCGTAAACGTGCTCCACGACAAGCTCCACAGATACTCTTGACCCATGTCGCACTTGGGGAGGTCGCCACCTCCACTCGTAGACATGTGGTTCCTTTGAGACCAAGGTCGAAACCCCTAACACATCTCGCAAGACTTTTCGCGAAATCAGGCACGTCGTTCCTGACTTGCGCCGGCCGAAGACTGATGCGCCACCGATCTGGTTGTCCTCACGAGGAGGCTGCCGGTTAATCGAACTTCCCAGACCGGCACGAGGTGGGTGGCAAGACTTCAGGAGGTCAGATACGCAAGGGCTCGCTGAAATCAGCCAGACTAGCCACAGGCACGTTATCTTTGCCACAGAGTAACCAATGCGCTGAGCTTCCCTCGTGGGTGTGGTATTCCACCGGCCGGGGCTCCGCTTGGTCCAGAATTCTGGAGCAAGAAACTCAATCCAACGACACTAAGAAGGATTCCCTGCTGAGACTTGTGTGTCCACATACCCTTTGAGCCTGGGACCTGTCCTCACAGGTAACCAGCGTGCTTCTGGCTAAATGTTCATCCAGCAGATCAAGTGACTTTGGAGGACTGTACCTCGTACCCGTGGAGGGATGGGTTCACGGTGAGTCACTGAGTCTTACCGTCTGGTATCGTCTGAGGACGACGTGATCGGGCGCTCGGCACCTGTGCTGGGGTGGAAGTTCAGGTATCTATTCTTGAAGGCTGCTCAGTGCTTGGTGACTGGTCGGGAAAAAGGTCGGTCGATCTTTGCCCTTTGCTCCTTTTGGTGGGCGTTGTTGCTGTCCTGTTGCCTCGAGGTCCAACCTGAGCTGTTGCATGTGACGGGTTCCCGGCATACGCAAAGCTATCAGCTCTGCTATCAGCAATTCAAAGATAAGGTGTGATGTGCTACGGAACTCTGTCGGCGTCCGCTGAAGGGGAGAACAGCCGTTTGGAACTCCGGTGCTCATGCCGTGGTCTAAAGTGCAATAACTATTAGCCCGAATGTGCCCGATCCCAAGACTCGACATCTGGACAAGAATATAAAAGCTCGGGATAAATCGATATCTCAGCTCAGAGAACTCTTTCTTTTCACGGTTCTCCTCCATTACACGAGTCGGTCACGAAATGCCATCGCCACGAGTCCCAGCATCGGGTCATGCTAACGGGCTTGAGACTAGGAAATCCAACTGGGGACGTCTGGGCTGAAGGCCCCCCCCCCCCCATGCATGTTTGCCACGGGCTACCCTGGACCTGTAACGGTGTGAGATCTGCGTCGGTGCTCATTGGACTGGGAGAAACCCCGTGCTGGAACCGCAGATCAATGGTCCTCAACTACCGGTCCCCGGTCTAGAAGAGGGGATCCCTGAACCTGGAGTGGTCATGCGAGCTTCTCCTGGACGGCACAGAGCACCGACCACGGGGAACGGTGTCAATGACACCAATGGGCGTGGGCACACACACGGGAAAAGGGCACTGTTTGATAATGTTGACGACGTCCAAATTAGATCAGGGATCTCATTACCGAAGTAAGAGGCGAGCGACTTGGGGCGCGGCGTTTGATGGTTGCAGAGCTGGTTTGTGTGTGTCTTTCGACAAGGAATCCGCCCTCCAGACAAACTATTCAACCATGCACCATGCAGCTTATTTGTTTTCCCGGCCCTGAGGTCCTGACCATGATTTATGGTATTGATATTGTATTCATGACGAAGCTAGTCCTGAATGAACACCATCGTGTGAAGCGTGTTAACCTTTTCCCCCCAGAAATGCTCCTCCCCAAGACCTCCAGAAACCCCGGATTTTTTGGGCTGGTGGCTGGCAAATCACTGGCGACGACAACGTCTGGCGGGGTAACCCGCCCTGCGGCGCTATGCGGGGGAAGATACGGTCTCCGGAGCAGCTCGACTTTTTTGTCTTGTCTGGAAGTAGGGTCCGTGTGGACTTTGGGGAGGGAGATTGCAAGGGCAAAAGGTGTGACGCCATCCATTCATTGCCCTCAAGAGTCGTGTATGTACGTATGTAGCACCTCGTAGACAAGAAGCGAAGGGGCCATTGGGAATAGTGGTTCGGGAGAAGGTTTAAGCGTACACAGGTGCGCCGTTTTGTGACCAAGGAACGAAAATGCGAACTGGGGTTATTCAGCTTTTTGAGGGGGGGGGGGGGGTTGGCAATAATCAAGCAAGGGGCGCGCGCGACGCCGCCAGCCATGGGATGATGAGGCGCATTGGGTCGTTTCGGCCAATTACCATCTCCACCCCCGCATTGCCGGGCGGAGTGAGCGGTACTAGCGCGATATTTCACGCGGTGTGATTCGGCGGTGCTATATCCTAGAATACCCCCCTACCCCGGCTTAGCGCGGAAGTTAAGCTACTAAGCAACCAACCGTCAACCCTGCTTGGCAACAGCTACTGCTCACCCACGTCTCCCACCCCCCCACCGACACAACCTCTCTGCCTCTTTCTCTCTCCCTCTCTCTCTGTATGCGATCGTCTTGTCCTTTTTCTGACAATCCTGCATATACGCATAATACCAGGAAGCACCAAGTATCGTCCTGGCGGCGGCTCCCCGCTAGTGGAATTCTCCACGTTCTCTATTGTGGTTTGTTGCTTTTCACCCACACCCACACACACACACACGTCCTTTTTGTGTTTCGGTTTTTCTAGACCAGACCAGACCAGACAAGACACATGCATTCCCTGATTTAGCGACCGGACCCAGATGCACATTCAGTTAAACGAGAGAGGGCGACAGAAACTCATACACAACACCACAAAATCGACATGGGTTCGCTGGGTTAAATCCTGCGTTGAACACGGAGACAGAGAGAGAGGGAGGGGGGGGGGGCCCTTGTCCTGTTGTGTCACATCCCTGACATGCATGA